TATCAATTACAACGTGAGATGCTTTTAATGGACTTTTTTTATAAAGGACGAAATTAAATGATTCGAAAAAGCAAGATACGTTGAAGCTGTATAATCACTTTGAGGCATCTTATTTTTCGGAGCAGCAATCGCTTAGTTGTTAATTAATCGAATTTTTTTTAATTGCTACAAATTTTATTTATAAGCTTAATAAGATAATCGAACCTATGCCCTACTCGCTATTTGTACAAATAATTACACGATGAATTCACAACAGATAACATTAATAAGCAATAATGCAAGCTATTCATTTGAACCTAATTACATTGGTTTATTGCTTAATTTCTTCATTCTGTTATTGCCAGTACAGTAAAATGTAAAATGTCGTAATGTAATATTTCCGAAATAAGTAATTGCTTTCTATAACTACTACAAGAGATAGTTATTGATTTCCATAGTTATTATTATAATTATTAATTATTATCGTATCTATGTAAAGTATCAAGTTCAAGAAACCCTAATAGTACATTTATTGGCAACATATTGGCCCAATATATCTCCCAACATTTAGCCAATAAATTGCTACTAGGGAAACTTTACCACGAAGTAGGATAAAAATTCTTGGGGAAAAAAAGTCGCATACTTTAGTGCTTAAATTATGTATTACCTGGTCTGATAAATTTTTGATGGTAACGCAGAACGCATTTTTTGTCCAGTATATCGATTCGTACATACGACATGCACATTCGCATTGGCTGCGGAAGTGGAGAAAAAAAAAGAGCGACAGAAAGAAATATCAATTAAAATCTTTTTACATTTTAATTTTTTTTATTCCTGCGATCAAACGCTATGCGACAATTAAAGTCGTTAATTTAAATAAGAAAATAGTTGTATCGTACAAGAGAAAATTACTATTAATGGGATTCGAAAGGTAAACTGTTCGCGACTTGTTTGCTCCAAGGATGAACCGTTTAAACGAGAGAATTTAATTTTTCGAAAATTCTTAACGACTCAAACGCCAGCACTTATCGAATGGCTAATAGCGATTGGACACACTAATACGTACTGCAGTGCACATTAAAGCTATTGAACACAAATCAATGTAAAGATCTGTGTTTAATATAAATATAGAAATGGATTAAACCGCGAAATTCTCAATATATTTTATTATAAAATATGTATTGGGCATATTATCATTCGAAGTACTTTTACATTCAGATTAGATCAATATAAAACATAGCTTTAATATGCACTAGTGCATCTAACCGAATTCGCTATAGGATAACTCCAGTATATATATACGCCGAACCTATCGAAAACTTAATTTATTAAGTATTATTTATGTTTAAAGTAAACGAACGATATCAGTAAAAACTTTGTACTGTTTATATATTATGAAAAAAATATTAGAAATCCAAAATATTTATATTTTGTATTAAAAAATGAACTCTTTTAAAAACCTTTGCATTTTTGCCGTATATCCTATAGGGGTGAGATATATGGTTACTCATAGGGAGAGGGGGGTATGTATGGTTCATAAAAAATTTACAAATAATATATATAAATAAGACGTAATACGTCTATTACTATTAGTAAGATCTTACTATTAGTAAGATCTAATACATTCTCTCGCTTATTTCTCGTATAACAATATATTCTTTGATATATTGTTTTGTTGGAGTATCTAAAAATTAAGATACACAAATCTAAAGATAATTTTATTGGACCATCTAATTCACCACCAAAATAATTATGTAGGACGTTCAAGCTATAGAATGTCAAAATTTTTTGATAGCGTCGCTGATCGTGCTTGAAATTCCTACGTAATTATTTTGATGCTCCAACAAAATTATTTTTAGATCTGTGTGTCTAGTTAAATTTTCAGATGCAAAATCGTTCTTTCCGTGCACATGTACATCACACAGATAACGAGGTCGTTAATTATTGCTATGTAATATCGTGAATGCATCGAAAAGATTGATTGGATCGAATCCCTTTATGATTCTGTGTTGAATCACTGAATATATAGTCTCTATTGTATCGTGTTCCTCAGATATATTAGATATTAGATATTAGATACCTATTAGCGTAACATGGGAATCACATCTCACGCGTTGATCGATAATTATCAAACGCTTTGTGTTATGATAGAGCGCGTTCAATTCCGCGCATATCTTCGTTATACATCGAGGACACTGGAGGCGAAGAGAGTTATTACATTTCCCGTTTGGTGAGGATGAGACGTCTCCGGTTTGTATCGCTTGACACGCGATGGCCCGTCTTGCAACCTCCGCCAAGCAGGCTCCGAGATAACAGCGACATTATATCGCGATATTAAAACAGTCGTGACGGTTTGCGACGTACTTAGCGCTTCTCGCGTTAATGAAACCGCGGAAGCAGCTTAAATCCGAAAATGTAACTGTAATTATCGTGTGACCGTAATTGCACTAACGCTGCATCGACGCGTGATGTACCCTTAATTTGCGAAATTAACCGGAAACCCGGTGCACGAATCGAACGCCGGCAAATCTGTACCTAACGAGTTCTCTGCCATGTAATTATTGCATATTATAATTATTGTAAGTTGACGTTTAATTAAAATGGTTGTTCTAAACATGAAATTCTGTTCTAATACAACATGGTTGAAATATATCACGATGAGATGAATTGTAGTATATTTAGTCAAACAAACATAATTATACTTAAGCAAATAATTTACGTTTGAAAACTGTTTTATGCTGTATAAAAAAGTTAGAGAGTTATAGACGTTACAAACATCTTATAAATGTTTTTATGACGTTTATTTTTTAAATTATACGTTTATATTATACGATTCTTTTATTAAACGTACTTTGAACGTAATTGTTGGATATTGTTATAAATAATGTTTTCTAAATTAATAGCTTCTAAAAAATAACAAATAACTCTTAGAGAAAGTGTTTCATTTTCTGCACAATTGTTTTTCGTATATACTCGAATGACAAAAAATTATTTCTTAATACAACGTCTTTTCTTTACTTGAGATATTTCATTGTAATTCGGATTTACAAGTAGCTACGATTTGACAAATGAGCAAGATTAGAATTTTCTGTTTAATCACGGGTTTTCAACTTACTTTCACTTGTAAACGCTTGTCGGAATTTACCGATAAATTACACGGAACTTTTCAAAGTGTTTTAAGTTGGATTACTTTGTTTGAATGTTGGAGCAATTGTTTGAGCGATTGCGATTCTTTCGCAAATTACTGTTCAATCATTGTGCATGCTTAATGAGCTTTAAACAAAACGTAGTCCTACAAACACTAATTATACATTTATTAAACAATCAATATTAATTAATATGTTTATTAATTATGTTTACTTACCTCTTAAAAGATCGATAAAATATATCCTTTATCAGATTTCATTAATTATTGTTACCTTTTTTAATAAATTAAACATTTAATCTTAACTTAAAACACTATGTAATTAAATATTATACAATTTTTGTAATATAATATTTTTTGTTAAAATTAAAAACAATTTAAAATTTTCAAGAAATGGACTTTCATAATATTCACTTTCATTAAAATACAAATATTCTTTTAAAATTGATTTTGAGTTTAATTTGTTAAATGTTTTTTTTATGTTTATACTCGGTATTTGATATTAACCTTTATTATTTTTTTAATCTTCAATAATTATATCTTATTTATATTTCTTATATTTTGCTGTTCACACAAATAAGATCGTAGATGTTAAAAGTAATAATTCTAAAGGTTTTAATTTTCTATCAGGCATGTTTGATTAGACATATACATTTTTATTAATTTGTATAATGAATTTTTTCTGTTAGTTAATATATACAAAATTAACAGTCATGAAAAATGATTTTCTACTTAAGTACATCACAATGCATATGTTATACTTATCGGTATCGATACGAAATACATTTATGGTATTATTAAAATTTAATTATATTTCATGTATACACATACGATCAATTGTTATGTAATTAGACAATTCATTTAACAAGTTTTCAACATAAAACATTTTACGTCATATAAAATTATGTAATATAAACTAACATTTTTAAAGATTTATTTTTAGTTCTTATTTTTGTAATAATGTTTTCTCGAAATACTGATTAGGGAGTATCAGTATATATTTATATATTTAATTTGTATAACGATAATATTATACATTGCACACACATAAGAAATGGAATGACTTGAAGTGCTTACTTACATACTTTCTAATATACAGCAAATACAAGCATCGGCATAAAGTTAACTTTGAGAGTGTGCGTGTGAGTCGTGCGGGTAAAAAGATTTCTTCTATCTCTAATTGATTTGAGCTGTGGATTGGCAGTTTATTTGTAGACACAATCTTAAATATAATTTTTGTTCGCGTCGCCGATAAATCTTTTTTTAAAAAAATCATAAAACCGAAACGTAAATGCACGCGTCCATAAATGAAATAACTTTGTTATCTTTCGATACGTAATATGTACAATGTTAATTGCGAGAGTTTATTATCATGAACATTGGTGAAAGCTAACATAGAACCAACATTACTAAACACAACTTTTGTTTACAGAACTCAATATCCCATTTACATTAAACTGCTTGCTAGAAACTTGCCAAACTTATAAGGAGCAAATAATACCTGATTCCCATGATGAAATGTTCCTGCTTCTCGACGAGATTTCATCGCTAAATTCATTCGCGAAGATGTAATATATTTGCGAATATATATATGCTCTACGAAATGTGAAGCTCTCTAAAAAGATTTTAAATTTTGTTGGAATTTAAAAATTTCTTCAATATACCTATGTATTGTAGTTTCAATTATTCCATTATTTTTATCGTTAATATTAAAAAATTAGCTTTTTGTTTCATGTTGTTTTTTTATAAAATTTTTTATTAGAATAGATTTTTAAATATTTGAAATGCAGAGGAAATAAACTTTGCTTAAAAAAAAAAAAAGAAATATTTTGAAGACATTTTAATGTAAGCAGAAACTATAAGATTTCACGGAAAAAAACTTCTGTTTCAATACGCGAGAGTTTATGATGACCAACGACACGAGGTAACAACTTGGTTCTTGAAGTTCGCGAGCAAATTCGTCCACGTCGAAAGACGGCCAAATCTCATTCCACGAATATTATTCACTCGTTACGAGTTGAAGCAGAGTTTCTATCAAGTAGTGTCACTTGGATAAGACGTTTCTTTAAACGAAAGTTACATGATTACGTGAAACTTTGTAGTTCTCCTTAGATTTCGCCACTGGGGATACAGAGATTCTCGGAAAACTGTCTGCAGTTGAATCTCTCGCTTTAAGTTTACTCGCAAATAGGTTTTTCTTTGATCCCACGCGGAATCTGTCACATCTTCTTTCACGAGCGTTTGGATTTCATCGTCAGAGAGTTTCAGCTCGCGAGATCTGAGATGAACTAAAGGTAATGTGATTTTTCGATACATGAGTTCGATAAGATGTCTAGAATCGAGTCTAGAAAAGAAAAAAAATTCAAAGTGTTTCAACTTCTTCCAACGAACTTTGACTTTGCAAAAATGTCGGTTTACAATAGTCACGTGGCGTGGCAGATGAGAATCTGGAAATATCGTCTTACATTTTCGATAATCAGGAGAGCCACGAGAGTCAGTATGGTGTTGGTTGATGTAGTCGCCGTGGAATTTCGTCGATCGCCTCCATGCATGGCCGCCGGTTTCTCTTCCTCTGCGAAAATAGATGAGATTCTTTGATAGGATCAAACGCTAGCGAGAGAAATGCAATTGGATGTACAGAATGCTTGAAATATCTGGTTAAACTTTGGCAGTTGATGTTTGAATTTTCCACCGATTGTTCTCCGTTGAGAATATGTTGTATAAACATTGAGCAAATTACAGGTTTCTGAACTGCAGTACATTAAACGAAAAGTACATTAAACTAAAAATAAGCAAAATTTATTAAATAACAAGTAAGTTTAAAATGAAAAATAATAAATAGGAGCATAAAAGCTGAACAGGATCTAAATGCTAATTAATGTTTATATAACAATTATTAATCGTATATACAAACGTTTCAACTTTAATTATAAGTCATCTACAATGTTTTCACGATCATTTTCAAATATACTCAGAATACAAAAATTAATTGTAATAATCGAAGATTATGATTCGGTTACACGACCAGCACGATCAATTTGAAAAGAGATTTTGTTTTTTAATATGGCAATTTATGACACATCTTTTAATTACAGATTTATTTATAACATGAATAAATTTGTAATTAAAAAGTGTCGCAAATCGCCATATTCAAAAACAAAACTTCTATAAAAAAATATGAATATTAAGTTTATTTTAATAATAATAATTTAAATTTGCAAATATAATGTAAAGAATATAATTGAATAGGTTAGATAGTTCCACTATCAGTTCCGAAGAGGTACCTAATTTTGAATCGGTCCAATAGATCCATCTTAACTCCGGAAGGTTGGTTAAATATCCAGGAATCGAGGGATTAATGAGTCACGAGATGCTCGCCGAACAATTGCTCACCTTCGATGACATGTAGCACGATGTGAGCTGGTCTGGCGTTGTTCGGCGAACACGTGTAATTCGCACCATGCGAGAGCTTCACCTTCTCCACGACGAATACGGAGCCGTTTCTCTTAAGCTCGAATCGAACGCCGGGCTCGTTGTCGTAGTTTATCATGCGCGTCTCGCGATACCAGAACACGTAGCTGGGCGATTCTGCGGCTGCCATCAACTGGCACTCCAAACGCAGGCTGGAACCCTGCTTCACGTGGAGATCCGGTCCACCCGGTATCACCGAGTACGCCTCCGTGATGTTCAATCGTATGAATCGCTGCTGCATTGGTTCCGTCTGAATCTATTTTATTAGAACATCGCGAAACGGAATCTATGATTTATAAAATACATATTGTTCTTCAAGTATTATATCAATTCCTTACTTTAAAAGTAATGTAGAACTCAAAAAATTAAATTTTTCAGAAAAGAAGAAAAACTATTCTCCAACTTGACAGAAAATTATCAAGCAATATCGACAAAAAGAATATATTCTTAGCATGAGCAAATGTCATTTTCATTTCACAATCCTTAAAAACCACCCTTCTTTGAGTCGTGGCGATTTTTTTTATGAAGTTTATTTTTTATGCTTGTCAGGATAATATTTATATAACTCATTTATGGTAATAATTAAAAGCTCGCGTTTTTTTTAGTAATGTTACTTTTGAAGTTAATGGACGATATATGTCGTCGTGATGTTCCCATATGGTAGAAGGCACAAGAAAGAATAAAACTGCACATAGAGAATGAATATTTCCAGCGATATTTCAGATATAATTATATTAGAATATAACTGAATTAAGTATATAGATCGCTAAGAGACATGCTCAACAGGTACCAAGGAAACTCTGTTATTATTTGATAGAACGGTTTGACACATCAGATATATTACCACTGTCTGACCGCGATCGGTTTTCACTACTGATTGAGCTGGTAAACACCAACCATTTGATGCACGCGGTTTAGGAAAGATCGACGCAATGTGAATCCAGTGATTGTCTCACTTGTTATTTTTTTATGGCTGAAAAATTCCGTTGTAAAGAGGAAAGAAAAACTTGTGTTTGTTAAGAAACAGTCGATAACAATATTTATCGAAATAACTCGCCTGATTTTTTATTTCAGAATCTTAGATATCTTTATAGGAAAAAGGGTGCTTATTGTATTTAAAATTTTACTTACAATCAGTATGAAATCATAATGTAAATTTTTATTTTGATGATTGTGTTCAATATTAATTATGGACAGATATTTTTTTTAATGTTTTATTTTTTTCTAACTTTTTTTTCTAAACTTAGAGTCTTCAAGCGGAAGATAATTGCTTTTTTAAGATGTTACAAAGAGTCAATTAATTTAGTCTAAATATATCTTGTTGTCAATTATTTTGAGAGAAAAGTACAGAAAATTTAGATAACGGTTAACCTCGTATTCCATGATAAAATTAAGATAGTCATGATAGTTATTAAAAGTTTTTAATATTAATGTGATCGTATCTAATTAATATTAGAAACTTTTAATAACCATCATGACCGTTCTAATTTTACCGTAGAATACGAGATTAACCGTCGTCTAAACTTTCTGGAGCTTTCTTTCAAAATAAGTGACAACAAGATACATTTACAGGTTTTATAAAGAAATCTTTTCGGGTTAGCACATTTTTTCGTGAACATTATGCATTACCTGACATTCGTAAAGACCTGCATCTTCGTGATTCACGTTTTTAATCAGTAGATTCCAGCCAGGACCGTTTGAGACAACGAAACGCGTGTCTATAGAATGTGTGCTTCTACCTACTGTAAGCAGTTGTCTGTCTTTTCTCCTGATCCACGTTACCTAAAATATGAATTTTATTCATCAGTTCGTTGCTACCGTTCGTTTTATTAAATATTCCGAGCATTATTCATGCCATTATATTATATCAAGTGCATAAAAGATACATTAATTCTCCGGAGTTAAAAAATCTGCAATACAGTTACTCGGTGGATCTATGAAGCTCATTTAATTTATGTTAATTAAAAGGCATTAATTAAGAAGCAAAAATGATATAAGTCGTATAAGTAAAAAAGAATGAATATCAAGTATATTTTAATAAAAATAATGCAAATTTATATAGCTATGAAATAAAGAAAATTAAATTAATTGTTTAACAAATTTTCAACATTTTTACAAAGAAATTTATAATTAAGCGAAAGTTCAATAGACCTACAGTCAGCTCCAAAGGATTAAGTATGTTTTTACTTCAGCAAATGTCTTATTATTATAAAGAAGAATAATTTTAATTGTAAATTGTGCTTTTATTTTACGTATGTATAAATATATACTTAATAATGGGTTCCAAAATTACTCACTGTATAATTGTTATAATTTTACATGTAATTTTTACAGCGCAGATACAGATGAATATCAAATAATACATGAATACATAACGTGCAGAAAATATATAATGAAAATTTATTATGATGTTCTTTTCTCTATGCGTACATGCATTATTACTTATTCTAATACGTTGTATTATATGCACAGTTTTACAAGCCACCTCAGATTTTACCGGGTCATTCGATTATCATATTCATAAAACACAGCATCTCGCATTCCTTACACCGAATTACAATCATATTCCGTCTTTTAGTTACCAAACAAAAAACATAGAGCTGCGAATTACATTCAAAATCAAATAAATAAAACAAAATAAAATTCTATAGAGACGCTCGCAACCTTTTTGTATTATTTATTCGTATGTCGGCAAAGCATACGACCGCCTTTGCCGAAACGACCTAGATCCGTATGTATTACTTTGCTGGCACTCGATTAAATTTTCAACCCCGCGATGCTCCCGCAAGCAATAGGAACAGAAGTATCTGCTTGACAGATCTTCTGAAATATCCGGTGCGATGCTTTGCTAGAAATATATTGCGTGAGTCTCGCTCTGTTGACTTCAAAGATAGACATCGACGGTTATTTATGGAAAATGTCACCAAGATAGAAATAGATCTTCCGCAGAATCTCAAGATATTCTTATGCATCAGCGAAAAAGTCCCTCCATCGCGAATCTATATTTATTGCAGATATTTTATTCAATCCCTGAATCGTTAGGTGCTATTCGTGCCGAACAATAAGATATCGCATTATATATTGTACCTTATATATAAGAGAATACTTTTGAGTTCTTCTTTACGTTACGGTTATCTCGCGCCCATTGTCGCTAGGAGAGGAAACTGTAAATTATTTTAAAAATTGAATTCAACAACATCGTTTCCTTTTTCATGCAAAGAGAATGAAATCTTTGTGGGAAGATTGTGGGTTTAGTACGAAATGTCCAATTTTTGCCTCTCTCGCGGCGCAATCTCTTCACCTTCGCCAACTTTTTTGCATCTTATATCAGTGCAGAAGATGCATATCCATTGTCATGCGGCTGACGTTGCACGATGATGAGCGACTTTACGTTTTATGTTTGTATTTCGTGGCACAAATTTTAGAAATAATAGCTGAACTTTCGGCTGATATTGAGGGATGGGGAATTGGCGGGCGTACAACTTTGAAGATATTTGGCGAACATCGTACATTAGATTATCATAGCCGCGCTGTTTATTATAGATGACAGCGACCGAGTTCGAGACATATATTACTGACGCTAATCGAAACTGGTTGTTATATTAACATAATAAATCGTTCTTGTTTTCTTATAAATAAAAAAGAATACATAATTTAAAAAAATAAATATATTTACTAAACGTAACGAGTATCTATAATTTTGTAATACATTTTGATACAAATTTGAATACAAATATATTATGGATGAATGAATCTCTATATTATTTTGTCTCTTTTTTGTATTTTTATTAATTATCTTACAATTAGATATTATTAGTTATGTTTAGCGATAATAAAATAGAGAATGTAAATTACATCTATATAATATAGTTTAATGTAAATGAATTATTATCATTTATTACTGAAATTATCATTCATAAATATTATAAAATGTGCCTGTGTATTTTTTATTTGCTGATGCAATAATTATAGATAATTTTTTTTATAAAGTTTGTTTAATATATTAATTAATATATAGAGTAAATATTTGTATTATAGCCATACGGAAAATATACCTTAGGCTGTAATTTCTCCAATAATTGCTAAATAAGTGCATTTTTGTAGTCATTCTCAAAGATAATCAATATTTATAGTAGTTTATGTGCATACACTATTCGAAATAACAATATTATGACTATTATGTGCATGATATTTTGTTTTCGAATGCCTGCATGCAAAATTTTGCATGTGCCCATTAAAAGCTGCTATAACGTCAAATAAATTACAGTTTATAGTTGTCGTAATCAACATACAGAATGAAGATAAATTGTATTTTTTCTATTATAATTATTTATAATTTTATTCTTTATATTATTACATCGAAACCCGGGTTTACAAGTCGATTTGAAATCAATTGATTTTTATGACTGATTTTTAGAATCGATTGATTTTTGATATCTACTACAAATATTCTATTGATCTTCGAAAGAAGATCGATATTTTATCGATGCTGCGTTGATAAAACGTCGATCTTTTCGATGCAGCGTAAAATGTCGATCTTTTTCGAAGATCAACATAGAAAATATAGTCGATATCAAATTAAAATCAATCCGAAAAATCAATCGATATAACTTGATTTCGACTTATGAACCAGGGAATTTTTTATATTCTTTATACGATTTATTTTCAAACCTTGTATTATTAGATTTAACTTTTGCAAAATAAAAAACATTACATAATACTAAAGAATTTTAAATGTCTACAGAAAGTATAGACGTTTACAAAAATCGCGGGAAGAATTACTGACGTCGTTTTTCGGAGATGCGAGATTTCCGGCCGTATTTCGATTTGCCAATTCTGATGAAATTAAGCGGATTCGGCGATTACGAGCGGCGCGCGCGTTGAAGCGAATTACCGGTGGGATGTTTCAATAATAGGGGCAAATTCAATATTGACGGGCGTAGAATAAATAATTCGCGAATAACGAGTGGCAGTGACGCATTCGCGCGCCCATTGTCGTCGGTGTGGAAAAAGCTGCGCGTGGAAGCGAGATTACGAAGTTTTGGGAAATTCTCGCTTGCACGCTCGAGACCCTTTCATTACGGTCTTTCATTAAAAAACCCTTTCGGTATGCGTGTCGAACACATTGTAATTCATTGCTTCGTCCCTCTTTCATACTTTCTATCGCCCCTTTTTCCCTTCCATTGCGCTCTCTGTCATTAATTGTCGACGACTGCGATTCTGATATCTTTTTGAAATACGTACGAACGCGGCGCTTTTAATTGCATTATTATCTCTTTAATGCGAATAAAATTTGACTGAATATTCATGGGATTGAGTTAGAATGAAGGAAGATGTTAAGAATAATTGTTATATTGACGTGTAAATATGAAATATTTATATAATTCTTTCATCTGACGATTCTTATTTCGACGGAAATTTAAGGCAATTCTTAACAAAGATTTATTTTCACAGAGGAACTTTGTTAAAACACTCGCGTATTTGAATGGAGCAGGATATGTCCGGATACCATTGCTGCATGCTATTATAAAAAGTTACTCATTGTTTATTTCGTATTTGATGTTAAAAACTATTATGTTACAAATTATTTCCGTATCTGAATTCAAGAATTGTTGTTTTGCCACTGTAGAACAAAATTCATACGTTTTTTTTTTACGTGTCGCTTACTCGCTTGTGTGTGATTAAAAACTTGCCTTTGTAACGCAAATCAGCAATGCACTGAAAATACTTTTCGCATAGCGTATGCATTACACGTGCTGACGGAAAAAAAATAACAATAAATGCGCGTTCCAAACACGTCCGAACAAAAACGCACAGAGAGACGAATAGGCCGTAGAATTAATTCTCGATATATCTCGGCTTTAGATCACGAACGTAATGGCCGATGAATAGCTCGTTATCTTCTCTTCTTCCATCCATATTGTTTATCGGTATCACATATTCATGGTCTGCCCGAACTTGCAACTATCATGCTTCGTACAATCTTGTTTATGTACGAGTATTTTTTATCGATTTTTTAAAGATTATTCCAGAATTATATTTGCTTACGAAAAGTCTAAATTGGACATATGGCGTTGTTTCTTTCAAAATATGAGATTGATTTTTTCGTTAGGAAATATAGGTATGCAGTGTAATTTAACCCTTACCATACTATCTACAATTTGATGCCTCATCCATATCATCAAGGGTCACTTCAAATCTCTTCGTTTTTTCACCTCTTCAAAATAATGAAAAAAATCTCTAAAGATTCACCAACATACTTTCAACTTTCTAGAATAAATATTGACTCTTTATTTTGGAAAATAATCAAATGTAGTATAATTTATAATTACCGAAAGACTCAAAGAAACTTGCACGAACAGGAATCGCTCGGTCACTAGTTACCCATATTAGTACGGTAAGGGTTAATAACAAGTGTACTGTTCTATAGTGTCAAATTTAACTTAATTTGAGTTGCCACTACTCTTACTCAATATATCGTAATTTTATACTATAAAATAATGGATAATGTGTTTTATTCGCTTATTAAATCTTGAATATAGTTTTCTCTTTGCCGTCAATACAAGAATTTATGAGCAATTTTCTTCCGTATTTGTGAAAGACGTGTATGTCCTGTAAAGAGTGCACTCTCATCGTATACGTGACGGAGCATCGAGGGTGGCTGCGGGGCATCAGCCCTTCACATGTCACGCATGTCGCAACGTGCGAGTGTTATCGCGCAAAATGACACGTCCGTCCCGAACGGCGTAACAGCCGGATGCGGGTTGGACGCTGGAAGACAG